GGCCATAAAGAGAGACCCAGAAGGTCACGTCATAATACTCAAGGGAAGAATCCACCAAGAAGACATAATTATTGTAAATATATATGCACCCAATATAGGAGCACCCAAATACATAAAGAAAATCTTAGAGGACTTCAAGAAAGATATGGACAGCAACACAATTATAGTGGGGGATTTTCACACCCCAATGTCAAAAAATGGACAGATCTTTTAAACAAAATATCAACAAAGATATTGTGGGATTGAACAAAACCCTAGATGAAATGGACTTAACTGATATATACAGAGCCCTCCATCCAAAAGAAGCTAAATATACATTCTTTTCAAATGTACACAGAATATTTTCAAAGATAGACAACACGATAGGATACAAAACAAGCATCAACAATTTCAAGAAAATTAAAATCATACCAAGCATTTTCTCAGATCACAAGGGACTGAAACTAGAAACCAACCCGAAGCAAAAAAACCCAAAACACTCAAAATCATGGAGATTGAATAGCATGCTATTAAACAATGAATGGGTCAAGAATGATATTAGGGAAGAAATCAAAAGGTTTCTGCAAACAAATGAAAGCAAACTCACAACAACCCAAAACTTATGGGACACAACCAAGGCAGTCCTGAGAGGGAAGTTCATAGCAATACAGGCCCACCCAAAAAAGTTAGAAACATTTCAAACAAACAAACCAACCGAACGTCTACAAGAACTCAAGGAACAATAACAAAGACAGCCCAGAGCAAACAGAAGGAAGGAAATAACCAAAATCAGAGCAGAATTAAATGACGTAGAGCCTAAAAGCACAATTCTAAGGATCAATGAATCGAAGAGCTGGGTCTTTGAAAAGAGAAACAAAATCCACAAGCCTTTAAGCAGACTCATAAAAAAAAAAGAGAGAAGACCCAAATAAATACAATCAGAAATGAAAGAGGAGAGATTACAACAGATACCACAGAAATATAAAAGATTGTAAGAAATTACTAAAAAGAAATGTATGCCAAGAAATTTGAAAACCTAGGTGAAATGGACAAATTTCTAGAAAACATAATCTTCCAAAACTCAATGAAAAAGAAGCAGAAAGCCTGAACAAACCAATAACAGCAAAAGAAATTGAAGCAATAATCAAAAAACTCCCAACACACAAAAGCCCTGGACCAGATGGTTTCACAGGAGAATTCTATAAATCATTTAAGGAAGAGCTAACCCCTATCCTTCACAGACTATTCCAAAAAGTCCAAAAAGATGGAAGATTCTCAAATTCTTTTTATGAGGCCAACATCATCCTAATTCCAAAACCGGATAAAGACTCAACAAAGAAAACTTCAGGCCAATATCACTGATGAACATTGATGCTAAAATCCTCAACAAAATACTTGCAAACCACATCCAACAATACATTAAAAAGATCATACACCATGACCAAGTGGGATTCATTCCAGGCATGCAAGGATGGTACAATGTTCGCAAATCAGTAAATATAATACATCACGTAAACCAAAGCAAAGACAAAAACCACATGATCATATCAATAGAGGCAGAAAAAGCATTTGATAAGGTACAGCACCCATTTATGTAAAAAACACTCAGCAAAGTGGGAATAGAGGGAGCATTCCTCAACATAATAAAGGCCATATATGAGAGACCTACAGCCAACATCATCCTCAATGGGCAAAAATTAAAATCTTTTCCACTAAGATCAGGAGCAAGACAAGGCTGTCCACTTTCACCACTTCTATTCAATATAGTACTGGAAGTTTTAGCCACAGCGATCAGACAGGAAAAAGAAATAAAGACATCCAAATTGGAAAGGAGGAAACAAAACTGTCACTGTTTGCAGATGACATGATAGTGTACATAGAAGATCCTATAGACTCCACCAAAAAACTGCTTGACCTAATAAATGAATTTGGCAAAACAGCAGGATACAAAGTCAATATCCAGAAATCAAAGGCATTTTTGTATATCAACAATGAAACAGCAGAAGTAGAAATCAAGGAAAAAATCCCATTTGAAATAGCAAAAAGAAAAATAAAATATCTAGGAATAAACCTTACCAAAGAGGTAAAAGACCTGTATTCAGAAAATGATGTAACAATGAGGAAAGAAATCAAGGAAGACACAAACAAATGGAAACATATACCATGTTCATGGATTGGAAGAATTAATATCATCAAAATGTCCATACTACCCAAAGCAATTTACACATTCAATGCAATTCCTATTAAAGTACCAATAGCTTCTTTCACAGACATAGAACAAACACTTCAAAAATTTATATGGAACCATAAATGACCCCGAATAGCTGCCGCAATTTTGAGAAAGAAGAGTGAAGTAGGAGGGATCAGAATACCTGACACTTAACTATATTACAAGGCCACTGTAATCAAAACAGCCTGGTACTGCCATAAAAACATTTACATGGACCAATGGAACAGAACAGAGAATCTGGAAATAAACCCAAGTCTCGATGTTCAATTAATATTGGACAAAGGAGGCAACAACATAAAATGGAGTAAAAATAGCCTCTTCAACAAATGGTGTTGGGAGAACTGGACAGCCATGTGCAAAAAAATGAAACTTGAACACCAACTTACACCTTATACAAAAATAAATTCAAGGTAGATAAAAGACTTAAATATAAAATGTGACACCATTAAAGTCCTAGAGGAGAACGTAGGGAGGAAAATCTCAGATATCTCACGCTGAAACTTTTTTACTGACTTGTCCCCTACAGCAAGGGACATAAAGGGAAGAATAAACAAATGGGACCTCATCAAAATTAAAAGCTTCTGCACAGCTAAAGAAAACAGTATCTAAATTAAAAGAGAACCAACTGTATGGGAAAACATATTTGCCAATGATACCTCAGAGAAGGGTTTCATCTCCAAAATATATAAGAACTTACAAGACTGCACTCTAAGAAGACAAGGAATCCAATTAAAAAGCGGTCAAAGGACTTGAACAGACACATCTCCAAGGAGGACATACAGAAAATCCAAAGACACATGAAACAATGTTCAATATCGCTAGCTATCAGAGAGATGCAAATTAAAACCACAATGAGATACCACTTCACACCAGTCAGAATGGCCATCATAAACAAACCAACAAACAACAAGTGTTGGAGAGGTTGTGGAAAATAGGGGACCCTAGTGCACTGTTGGTGGGACTGCAGACTGGTACAACCACTATGGAAAGCAGTATGGAACTTCCTCAGAAAACTAAAAATGGATCTGCCTTTTGACCCAGCAATTCCACTGCTGGGACTATATCCTAAGAACACTAAAACACCAATACAAAAGATCCTTTGCACTCCGATGTTCAGAGCAGCACAATTTACAATAGCTAGGTGCTGGAAGCAACCTATATGCCCATCAGTAAATGAATGGATCAAAAACTTTGGTACATTTACACAATGGAATTCTATGCAGCAGAAAGGAAGAAAGAGCTCTTACCCTTTGCAACAGCTTGAATGGAGCTGGAAAGCATTATGCTAAGCGAAACAAGCCAGGCAGTGAAAGACAAATACCATATGATCTCACCTTTAACAGGAACCTAAACAACAAAACAAAGAAACAAGCAAAATATAACCAAAGACACTGAAATAGAGGACAGGCTGACAGTGACCACAGGGGAGAGAAGAGGGAATTTCAGGGGACAATGAGCAGGGTTTACAGGAACAAATTTAAAAGACACATGGACAAAAACTAGGGGGAGGGTGGTAATGGGAGGGAAGTGGGGAGGGTTGGGTGGGTGGGCTGGAATGGGAGTACAAGAGAGAAAACTGTACTTGAACAAAGATTAAAATATAAAAATAAATAACCTTTTCTCTTGCAGAGGAATGCTAATGCTAGCTGAAAGCTGAGGCCTTAGTTTCTTCCATTTCTCAAAATGAAGATTAAGGTGGAGAAATGTTACTGTTACACTAACATAGATAAGGAGAAAGTAATAAAGTGGTTGAGAAAATGCAAAACACAAACAAACAAACAAACAAACAAAAACACTGTGGTTTCTGTCTTGGACTGTCCTTTCTCTTTGTGGTAGAAGTAAGCTCGTGTGGCATGAGCAGTCCTCTGGAGAGACCTGTTGCGCGTGGGTCACCGGCCAGCAGTGACCACGGAACGCTGTGGATGGCTCGACAAAACACGCGAGAAAAAACAACACATGCACAGAGACAGACTAGTTTCTGTGGGGAAGTAGGGACAAAATGGCCACCCCCCCTAGTGGGGGAGCGCGCTGATTTACCATCCATACCTGCTTTTATTAGGCTCATTCTGCATAATAATTCAGGTAAAGTACAGTACTCATTAGGGGAAGTAAGGAACTATAGAAAACAAAGAACTCTGCCGGTCTATTGAGTTGGGGGGTCAAAGAGCTGTAAGACTGAGGAACAAAATAACTTCCTCCTAAGACCCTTCTCATTCAACTGAGAGCATTCTAAACAAAGAAGGTTTCACAGTAATTTACATGTTCTTTCTTAGGCCTGATCACCCCGGGAAATCCGCACTTCTCAGTACCGAGCTGTACTACCCTGTCATTGTTTCAGGCTTAGGTGGAGCAAGGGAACTAAGGCAACCAAGAGATAAGGAGATTTTCTCCCAGACGGTGAGAACTCAGACTTTGTCAAAGCCGAGGAGCGAGGGTCCATCACCCCCTTTTGCTGCAGCCCCCCAAGTCCTTCTTTTGGGGGGCCTCCCAAAGTGATCGTGCCTGGCTTAGGTCGTTCCCCCGTGGGGAATCTTACCTGTCTTTGGCTAACCGACCAAGCTTTTTGGGGGTTCAGTTATGAATAAAGCAGCAGAAGCAGCATTCCTGACAGGAAGACAAGCTTTTGTCTCCTTGCTGGCTTACGGTTCCAAGGGCGTTCCCTTAGCCTTAGCTAGGCGGGGGTTTCAGCCTCTGATACCAGTCAGGGCGGTTCCCAACAGAGACCCACGTGGTGAGCAATGGACGCCTCTGGTCAATAGACAGTTAGGCATGGAGGCCTGCCTACAACCACCTGAGTAAACTTCGAAGTAGACTCTCCAGCCCTGGACTTCTTGAGATGACCATGGCTTTGGCTGCCATTTGAGCCAGAACTACCTGGCTACCCTGGAATTTTAGCCTTCAGAAATGATGGGGAATTATAAATCTTTATTTAAAAAAATATTTTATTTATTTATTTTTAGAGAGGAAGGAAGGGAGAAAGAGAGGGAGAGAAACATCAATGTGTGGTTGCCTCTCACATGTGCCCCCTACAGGGAACCTGGCCCACAACCCAGTCATGTACCCAACTGGGAATCAAACTGGTGACCTTTTGCTTCGCAGGCCTGCACTCAATCCACTAAGCCACACCAGCCTGGACAGAACATTCCTCTTAAAGTGCATTTCAAATATCTCTATGGCATTGATAGGGAATTAAGTATTCTAATTTAAGGAAATTATTTTGATTTATTAAAATTTTTTAGAAACTGGCTATCAGAAAAAAAACACACTCTCAGGAGGAGTACAGGAACTTCAGCATTTCACAGTAATAATCTGGATGTGCTCTTTCTAAAGTTTCGCACTGAAGAACACATGACAAGGAGCTTTCACAATAGTAACGTTTGCAGTCAAATTAAGCAGAGATGGTATGACATCTTTGGGGGGAAAAAAACTTGTTTGATTTAACCTGGATCTTGTCTCAAACAAGTCTAATCAGCACTTTGGTGATCTAACCTAGAATTCCCTGAGAATCAAAATTGCAGTGATTATTTGGACTACAAATGCTTAGGGGGAAAGTGGGGAAAGGACTGAAGGGATAGAAATGATTCTTTAGCTGAGAGTACAAGGGCCTCCCTTGAAATAAGTGTGAAAAGTCACTTTTTAAACAAAGAGTTTCTGAAAATGTATAAAAATAAAGGATGGAGTTCAATCTGAGTTGTTTTCAAAAGAAGAATCAGACATTTGCCTGAATTCTGATCATGGAGTGTTATACCTAAGGCTGGGCATACTCTGGAAATGGACATACTGTTTTCTCACCCAGTCATTTGGTGCTGGGTGACTCTAGGAATTGCTGAAAACCTGAAAGTAAAACGACGGTGCAAAATAATAGAGTGCTTTACTGAATTTCTTGATTGGTAAGTCCAACTTGGTCCTGAATCCAATTTGAATCCTGCAGCCCAGGGCCTCCTGTTGATGGAGATGGGGAGGTAGTATAAAGTGGTGCCTGATTGGGGTTCTCCAGTCTTGGGTGGACAACTCTCTGGAGGCAAATGATAATATAACCCTTGTCACATACCTTTCTTCCTAAGAATACTGCATGAGATTGTTTTTATTTGGGGACTCATTCAAGGTCTTCCTAATGCTCCTTAGTCAAGGCAAGTAGCATGTGCCAAAGAGAATGAACCCTTGCCTCACTCCTTTTCTTAGCAGACACTTTCGCATTTTCCTTCGAGGAACTTTCACACAAGATCACCTTTATTTGGCAAATGAGAAAAACATTTATGAGTTCTGCAGTAAACAGATGGTGATGACAGGGAACCAGTTCCACCCTTTCATGCCACTCTTCCGAGCAAAGTGTGTTTCTTCTTCTGGGGGATACTCAGCCTAGAGGAAGAGACCCTGGTGTTATCTCTGAACTGGATGTGGCTTTTATGATCACCCAGTTCACTCCATTCATTTTACACTGGCCCTCATCAGGGAGCAGCCTGTTGGAGGTAGCATGCAGATTTTCTTCCAGAGAAGGCCAGGCTATATGGCCATGCCCTCCCTTGGGCTCGGGATTTCTCAGCTAGGGGCAGCATACACCAGCCCAGGTTCAGCTTCTCAGTGCTTATCACCTCCATTTGTCCAGAACTCTTTCCTCCGAAGGACTTCAAACTCAAGGCTTATGCCCAAGCCTTGGCACTGGGCCATTTTACCTCTAGGAAGTTAGCTCTAGGCAACTTCTGAAGGCATGCAGTGTCCTAATATCCACTGGTGACCTCTGAACAGCAGAGGCTTGAGAGAGTGATGCAGTTTGCACCCTCTTCACAAAAGGCCAAAAGTGCTTCCACTACAGTAACCCTCGTCTCCCTCAATCCCTTTGCAAAGCTGTGCCTGCCAACTGGCAGCACGACACATAAGCAGCAGCCAGCCCTGGGCTTGTGTTGAATTAACTTTTTTTTTTTTTTTTTGTAAAATAGGCTAACAGTTTGGAAACTCATTATGCAATTAGTACTCATTTTGAAATGTGGTCACTTATGTTTTGCCTTGATCAATATCACACTCTCCTTCTCACATGTCACTGAAACACTGTGGGACAGGGACCCAAAGTACAGTGGTTTAAATTTAATTTTCAAATGTACCCCAATGATCTGTATGCCTCCCTATGCAAAGTGTACATTTGAAGGAGACTCTCTGGATTCCCAACATTTACATGCAAATATTTTCAGACTCTAGGGATACAAAAGACTCCTTCTGAAAGCACACTCTGTTGTGATTCACAAACAAGGGGGCACAAATGATTGAAGAGGTGGCGCCACAGGCATGGGCAGCATAATTGATACACCTGGAACCTTCTGACGCACAGCGCCCAGGCAGAACTAGGGCCTCTATGAGAACCAGAGTTGGAACATGATTTTCTATGCTTGGTCCAAAAATCTTGCTTTAGGGAAAAAACAAAAGACAGGATAGAGACCAAGGAATAGTCTCTAACTAGTTCCCTCTTGAACAAGGGAGACAAAGAGAGGAACCAAAACATGTTTGGAAATCAGGTGTGGGAAAGGACAACATGGCAACTCAGGAGAGAAAGAAATTTAAGTCCATGCTGGGGCCTGAGCTGTTACTGAGTGAGCGGTGTGGGGAGTGAGGGGAGGGAGTAGTTACTGAGCTGGGTAGTACATGGGTGCTGACAACTGGATGGTGTCTCTGGGAGGTAGCCAGTGGGGGCACAAGGAGGTGGCCCTGGCTAGCTGAGCTTTACAAAAAAGAAGAAAGGAAAAACAGTAGTCAGGTATATATTCCAGTAAGTCCCTAACATCTTCTTTTATAGTCCCCATCACAAGGTAAGGTAATGAGGCTGTTTTTTCTTTTCCTCTCATAAGCTTTTTTAACTCAAGTGATCACCTTAAGGGGGTCTCAGCAGGATTGAAATATTCATGAGGAAAAAGAAAAAGTCAGGATGGGGGGTGGGGAGGTCCTACTATGTGATTGTCCCTGGCACAGGTCTCCAGCCCCAGCCCCTGAAAACACCACCCAGGATGGTTCTATTTCTTCATTTTAACTAGAAGGAGTTTCTAAGGATGTGCAATGAATTCCCTGGGCCCACCACAATGTCAAAAATCTCAATTCCAACGGGGAGTCACGCAGAGAAATATTGCAGGGTGCTAAATTGGTTCTTCAGCTGTTTATTTAACACAGAGGCTTAAATTTCAGGCATCTCCATGGACAAACCTGTTTTTTTATTAGATGAACATATTCTGTAGCCTCTCAACTCTCCTCGTGACTTTGTTTAAGGGAATGGTCAATACATTCATTTAAAACAGTAAGGAGGCTGGTTACCAGCTGTGATCCTAGTAAACATGTGAAACGTGAAGAGAAGAGGTAGCCATCTCCACAAGTTATGAGGCTTCTATTCAACTGTGACAAGCAAAGCCAAGACCAGAAATCAAGGTCCATTCCCCTCACCCTGCTCCTTATCATTTCCTCCTTTGGGAAGCATGAGAAAGCCTCCATACGTGGGCATAAATAAGATTTTTTTAAGGAAATTTGTTTATGGAGGGTGCGAGGATGCAAGCACTATAAAAATCAAAAGCTTATCTGGCTTTAATTGGCTTTTCTCTCTCTTGTCAAATGGGAGTGTGATTCTGTACATTTTCTAAGGGTCCCAGTCTGCTCATGAAGTTTTTACACAGGTGACAAGCTGTGGGGCAGAGATTCCTTAAACACCCTTTGAGAGAATTCTTATCAGGGCAGGAGTAACAGCTCGGTGCTGCCTGCTTCTTTCCCTTCTGCTCCATGTGTACTACAAAATAGGCATTGCATGTGATGGTGAGCCCAACAATTAGCAAAAAGATGCTCTGGAAGCCCACTCTGCTGTCTTGGCACTGATCTAGGTCCTTCATTATTTTTTCCACTGTGAAAGGGTCTTTTTGATTTTCCAAAAGTTTAGGAAACTTCTTTTCCATGAGTACTCTCAGGTCCTCCTTTGTTAAATAGCCTTTATCCCTAGCAAACTTGTGAAACACGAACATCATGGTTTCCATGGTGTGTTCCATTTGAGATGTCATCTTGGTGAGGTCTTGGCTGGAGATGGGGCAGGATCACAGGGCTGACAGAGTGCCCCCAGGTGGGTGCCTTAGTAGCAGGAGGTGGAGGGGGGGTGTCAAATGGTATTTTATTTATTTATTTTCATTTATTAGTATTTATTTTATGCTGAATTTACTCCTGGGCCATAAGCTTTTGTTTCTTCAGTTTCTTCTGGGATATCTTTTTCTTCTGTGCAACTTCCTCTTTTGGTTTAGGAACAATCTGCTGTTTTTCAGTAAGGATCATCTCAGTGTGGCATGGAGGGCTTATGTGTGGGTTAATCCGCCCATAGCTCTGTTAGTTCTATGCCTCATCTTGGGAGCTTTGTTCACATGGATGTGCTCACTGACCAGAGAATCTACACCTAAACCCTTAAGTTCAGCATTACTCTCTGCGTTTTTAAGCACATGCAGCAAAAAATCAGCACTCTTTTTGGGCCACTGACCTTGTGTCCAGCCCCACTGTTTGGCCTGGGCACACCTACCATCTCCACCATTGTATCGACGGAATGGGACACACTGCTTCTTTAAAGTGACATCTTTCAGATACTTGGTTGCTTTTTGAATATGCATACCTTTGATAGCACTTTCACAAGTATTCTTAAAGTGAACACGAAGATTTGAACCTCTTGATTTGTATGATTTTGTGGGGTTTTCTGGGTCAAGTGAATAGCAAATCATCTTCAGAGGTCACCTCTGGTTGCTTTTGGGAAGAGGAAGGGTGGATGAAATGGTATTTTAAATAACTCCATTAATAGCGCCCCCCACCCCCAATATTCAGGGACATCTGCATAAGCGTATTTCGATCTCACACATAACTGATAAGCCCTATAATAGTATACACCAATATCTCAAATAAAAAGTCACATTTGCATGGAACTTCCATTTATCAGGATTATGTATTTGCTGCAGGAAAAAAAGCAAACTGCCAGGAAAACCTTTTTCCCTCTTTGTATAACCATTTAGAGGAAGTCCCAGGGGTCAGCACACATTCAGTCTAATCACCTACATCTTTTCCAGCTACTGCTGTAGCAATAATTTGATCTCCAGAATGATGAGTGTGAGACACTGCAGCCTCACAGTGGATCCCCAGAACATGCTCTGCTCATTCTTGACCCTACATCTTTGCATATGCTGTTCCTGTGCCTCTTGTTCGACTAGCTGAATCATTCAGGGCTTGCCTGCTTCTATCTTGCCTTTTCCTCCTCCTTTCACCACTCGACCCTTTCTCAATCCCGCCTACCCAGATGTTGTGTCCCCACCCCCACCCCCAAACCCCTTTAGGCCTGAGGTATGGGCCACTCATTTGACAAGAACCTTCATAACTTACAGCATCCCACTGAAACTTTATTTCATTGATGTAATTCTTATATCCCTTACCTGCACAGAAAACACTTGCAATTTCCAACTGTCTCCTGTTTCCTTGTTTCCCTGTTGCACCTTGCACTGAGATGTTGCTTCTTGCACTGAGATGTTGCATTACATTGGACAATAAATAATAAACAGTGATAATGGTAACAGCTAAAATTTTCTGATGTACCAAATACTGTGCTGAGCAATATGCAGGAATTACGATTAATCAATACTTGGCAGATGAGGAAACTAAGACACAAAGAAGTTAAATAACCTACCCAAAATGACACGGCTGATAAAGTGGCTGTGTTGGAATTCAAATCAAAGTCTTTGCCATCTTGCTCTATACATAATCATTGTTTCAAGCATCAAATTCAGTTTGCTGGACTCTTTGAGGGGAAAATGTACTAATGAATAGTTTCACAATTTTTTCAACAGAAAAGATGGAAATGCATGAAACACGAGTTTCTTGTTAAATTTCAATTTATCAGAAAGTTCCATTAAGAAGAATAACCATATTTGTTGGTCACTTTGATGTATTAAGGATTTACTTTAATATATCATCATGCAATATTTCTGGATAGAAATTAAGCAGATAAAATCATTAGTTATCAACCTGGGATTTTTTTTCCATTTGTTCTTCTACCTCAATCATGGGTTCCCTTTTCTCTGTTCTAAGGTGTTCTTTTTAAAAGAGAAAGTGATCTCTCTTTCTCTGGGTGAATGATAAGCAGTCTATGAACACACAGTATCATTGAAATCTGGAAGTGTCATACTACAAAAAGCAAGGCAAGATCAGGGCATGAATGTGGCCAACTCTCCTCCTTTGAATTTGATGTTTTCAAATTGTTCCTCTTTTAGTGTTTGTTTGTTTTTTCAGTTTATCAGTGTAGTTTATCTGACAATAGTTGCAAAGTAGTTCATGGATTGTATATATAGTCAAATGGTTTTCAGTAAGACCATGCAATGGGGAAAGGACAGTCTCTCCAAGAAATGGTGCTAGGAAAACTCTATATCCACATACAAAACAATGAAGGTAGACCCTAACCTTACACCTGTTGACTCTAATAAGGAATATACCTGCTAGAAGGAGTCCTTGTGGTTAATTGAACCCCAAAATCAAGAGTCTAGCAGATATTTCTGGCAGAGGCCTCTCATACACTGTGTCATTTTGGGGAAAAGCAACAGAAGGAGCTACCAGCCTCCTGAATGCTGAGTCAACCCTGGCATTATAAAGGAGTTCCTGGCATTGCATGATGACCAATGGACTGAGACCTGCCCTGCAGTTTATTTGCATCTTTACCAACCAATCAGAGAAGCTTCATAATGACCAGTCAGGACACCTCATTCCAACCAATCAGGTCATTGATATTTGGATCAAGCAGGACAGTGTTATTTGTACCAGTACAAGTGTACAAATTTGGGTTCCTCATGTGCGTAAAAATGGACCTATCAGGGACCAGGGCAGGCACTTTACATAGCAGGCCTCCCCTCTATGTGTGTGTACCGGGTGGGGGTGGTGAGGACAGTACACCTCCTTTTTTTTCCCCGAGGCTAGGTTTCCTCAGTTTGCTAATTGTTCACCAGAATAAAATCTCTCCTTTTTCTACATCCTAGACTGAGGACTCCCATTGACATTGGATTAGTGGCAGCGAACTTTCATTGTCATATGCTATATACAAAAGTTACCTCAAATGGAGAATGTGTCTATTTAGGTCTTCTATCCACTTTTAAATTTTTTTTAATCCTCACCTGAGGACATTTTTTTTCATTGCTTTCAGAAAGAGAGGAAGGAGGAGAGGAAGGCAGAGAGAGAGAGAGAAACATTGATGCCAGAGAGAAGCATCTACTGGCTGCCTCTCAGAAGCGCCCAGACCCACATGCCTGCACCCTGATTGGAGATCAAACCCACAACCCAGGCACATGCCCTGATTGGGAATCAAACCCTTTTTGGTAACAAGGCAATGCTCCAAGCAACTGAGCCACATTGGCCAGGGCCTACCCACATTTTCATTAGATTGTGTGTTATTCAGGTGTTGTCTGAGTCCTTCCTTAATTTTGGATATTAACCCCTTATCTGATGTAACATTGGTGAATATCTCCCATTCAGTGGGTTGTTTTTTTATTTTGTTGATGGCTTCCTCTGCTATGCAAAAACTTGTTAGTTTAATATAGTCCCATTTGTGTATTTTTCTTTTGTCTCCTATGCCCAAGGAGATATATCAGAAAAAAATATTGCTAAGAGAAAGGTCAAATTTTACTGCCTGTGTTTTCTCCTAAAAGTTTTATGGGTTTCAGTCGTATTTAAGTCTTTAATTGATTTTAAGTTTATTCTTGTATATGGTGTAAGAAGTTGTCTACTTTAATTTTTTCCATGTATCTGTCCATTTTTTCCAGCACTATTTATTGAACAAACTGTCTTTACCCCATTGTGTTTTTTTCTCCTTTGTCAAATATAGACACTTCTCACCAAGGCCAGGTGGCTCAGTTGATTGGAACATTTCCCCATACACCAAAAAATTTGTGGGTTCAATCCCCAGTCAGGGCACATATGAGCAACAACCAATTGATGTTTCTCTCTCACATCGATGTTTTTCTCTTACTCCCTTCTTCTCTCTCTAAAATCAATAAGCATATCCTCAGGTGAGGATGGGTCTCTCTCTCTCTCTCTCTCTCTCTCTCTCTCTCTCTATATATATATATATATATATATATATATATATATATATATATATATATATATAGAAATATAGAAATATAGAAATATATATATATGATATATATTTTTCTCCAAGGAGGACATACAGATGGCCAATAGGCATATGAAATGTTGCTCAACATCACTCACTAATCATCAGAAAAATGCACATTAAAACCACAATGACATACCACCTCATACCTGTCAGAATGACTATCATCAATAAATTAAGACACAAGTGTTGGCGAGGATGTGAAGAAAAGGAGACCCTCGTGTACTGTTGGTGGGAATGCAGACTGGTACAACCACTATGAAAAACAGTGTGGAGGTTCCTCAAAAAATTAAAAATGGAATTGCCTTATGACTCAGAAATTCCACTTCTGGGAATATAGCCAAAGAAACCCAAACACTAATTCAAAAGAATATATGCACCCCCACGTTCACTGCAGCATTACTTACAATAGCCAAGAAACTGAAGCAGTTCAAGTGTCCATCAACAGACAAGTGGATAAAAAAGCTGTGGCACATATACATGATGCAGTACTACCTAGCCATAAAAAAGAATAAAATCTTACCTTGCAACAGCATGGATGGACCTAGAGAGCATTATACTAAGTGAAATAAGTCAGGCAGAAAAATAAAAATACCATATTATTTCACTTATATGAGGAATCTAAACAACAAAACAAACCAAAGAGAAACAGACTTGTAGATACAAAAACAGACCGATGGTTGCCAGAGGGGAGGGGGATTGGAAAACTGAGTGAAAAAGGTGAAGGGATTAAGAAGTAAAAATTGGTAGTTACAGAATAGTCACAGAGATGTGAATTGTAGCATGGAGAATATAGTCAATAAATGTTGCAGTGGCTGTGTGTGGGGCCAGTTGGGTGCTTGAGCTTTGGTGGGGGACACTCTTTGAGGTGCTTGATTG